GAGAGAGAGAGACAGGGGAAGGAGAGGGAGGGGGAGAGAGAGAGAGAGAGAGAGAGAGAGAGAGAGAGAGAGAGAGAGAGAGAGAGAGAGAGAGAGATTCCTGGTGTCTCGTATGCGGCGGAAATCGGACGAACCGAGAGTTTCGACACCGATAACGAACCCGAAACGAAACTTGTTTCCACAAATGCGGCGAGATTTGGTTGGTTCTGGGACAACGACCAGCATTGCGCGCGCGCGGTCTCTCCGGAAAACACGAGACACAGGATCCAGAACGGACACAGCGAATTTCTTGCTTCCATCAGGTGAGAGAAAGAGAGAGAGAGAGAGAGAGAGAGAGAGAGAGAGAGGAAAGGCACACACACACACACCACTCTGGCACAACTCTTTTCAGATTTCGTTATTTCACCTCCTCAGCTGGCAGCGTAGTTTCCCCCCTCCTCTCCCACGCACCGCCGACGTGACCTCTGTGTTACACTGACGGCCCGATGTACTTCGTACCGTTCGCGTCGTGGCTCGGACTTGACTCTACCGTCCGGCCTCGTTCTCCAAGAGGTGAGCAAAGAAGAAAAACACCATGATAGGTTTCCCGAGAGCCGGATACTAGTTGCTGCTGCTGCTCTTGCTGATGCTGGTATTATAGAGCATGTGTGTTTGGGCGCCACGAATTCGAGGCGTTTCGACCGGTAACGTTCTCCTCTTTGTCTCGCTGTCGGGTGTTGGGGACAAAGAGCCCGACTTTCCCGACCACCGGCATTTCGAGGGTCATCCGCGATCTAATTGCTGCCGTGCTGTGTGCTCTTTGCCGAACGCTGCAACATACATACGTCCATGCATAATCACGACAACTGCTTGTGCATTGCTGGGCCACACAAGATTTCTGCAACAACAGTGCCCGCCGATATGTCAGTCTACATTCCGACAGACTTTCGACCCAGGGAACAAAGGTACTTTCATAGCAAGCAACAGCCGGGCATTTTGGTGTGCGTCACTACAGCAACAGGCAGTATGCACCGAATTTCACTGGAGATGGCGCAAGTCTTCCAACCGTTATACTTCTCGACAAGTGGCAGCAGCAGGGGCCAGAAAAACCCACTCCTGTGTAAACATTTGCTCAACGTTTAGCTTTGTGCTGCAGTACAAGATCCAAAGCATGCATGCTTCACGGGTTCGCCCGTTGACACCGCACTGAACGTCAAGCAAGTGCCGCCGCCGACCGCCGATGATATCTTTTTTTCGATCTTTGCTTGTCTCCCGTTCGGGTATATGTGAGAACACAGCAACAATGTTCGGCGTGTTCCGCCCTATCGTGCTCGAAACTACAACTACTACCATGTATCGCCCATCGCACCGGTGATTGATTGTATACGTTTGCCCTACTGTGCAGTAGAGTACCATACGTACTTGCATGAATGTAGTCTAATAATACATAGGCCAATGCTGCACATAGAAGATCCGACCCGACCACAGCCCGTGTTGCTAACGTGTGAACCCAGTGAGCTCTATCGTGTACAGTACGTTGTGTAGACTATTGCGGGAATTTATTCCCACAGGTTTGTACATGGACTATGTAACTTTCTTGCCACGTCAGCAGGCGCGTCAGCTGCCATGTGTAAATACCTTACAGTAAGACCTGCTTATTCATATAGAATATTGAGAGGGCACGATGATGCACACATACAAAAGAGATCGGTTCATTGTGGGGCAAATATCTACAGAAAGAAGGCGTTAGGGTGCTCGCGTGCAATGCTTAGGAGTATTCGCGTTGGAAGATCGTTTGGATACAGCGGCCACCGTGGCAAACCAGGGCGCCGAGATTTCCTTTTTCGAGATGCTGAGGTGTGGCAAGGTTCTATTCGCCATGTACGATGCGCCCCAGCAACTAAAAACTCATCTCTTGCTAATCACAGATGACACCATCACACCCACCGCTTATTTCCCAACAGGGTCCGTTCTTGTTTCCTCTGCGGGTAACCCCACAGCGACTACAGGTGCTACATGCGGAGTATCTGTTCGTATGAACCCAAAATAAAAAGCCTTCTACCACGCACATGAAACCATCACATCCAAACAATAACCACTTTTACAGTATATCGACAAAAATCCTGTCTTAGGGCCGGTTTATACAGATAGATTTCGGGTCCAATTTCCAAACTTTAAAAAAATATATAAAAATAAATTTGGAACGAACTAGCAAGTCTTCAAATTTTTGTGAGTTTCCGATTTTTTTCCTCCGCCGCAAATCCAGGTTCAACGGTCTACGGATTTGAATAATTTTAAAATTTAGAAGCAAAATCGCTGTGTATATAACGGCCCTTACATCCTCTGCGGGATAACTCCACAGCGACTACCTGTGCTACATGCTGAGCACCTGTTCTTATGACAAAGTTTGTTGGGGGGGGGGGGGGTAGCCTGACGGTCTCAACTTGTAGTTGTTCGGGGTGTATATGCACGGACTTGGTTCGCCATTCTTTGCTTCAACGACGTGTACATGGACGCTGAATGCGTCCGTCTACCTTGTAATGAAATAACAATAAAGAGGATGGCGATAAAAACGAAAACCGAATATTGGGGGAACCATCAACAGCGTGTTGCTTGGGAACAGAAAATGCATGGGAAGGGCAACATTGGAAACCGTACCAGTTTCGCTAGAAACTTTAGACTACACCCCGCGCTTA